CCACAACATCACCTTGTTTTCAGCCTGCTACAAAAAACAGTTTTAATCTTTGCAGATACTTCCCTCCTTCCCTACTTTGAGGGGCATGGCCAGTTTGATTGACAGGTGACAGAGGCATCAGTAGCTGTCAGATGTCTGCTGGGCTTCCGCTCAGCTAACTGGAGTCACTGCAGTGTTTGTGCCTTTTTAAGGATGGGCAAGGGCTGTGTTGAGTTACGGCCTCAGTTTTGATTAGTGAAATTTCTAGGATTTTATTACTAATCACACTGCTAAAATTAATGCTTTAATGTCGTCCACACTTCAAAAACCAGTAGGTAATGGCAATGTCCGTCTTTTATATACAGTATGTGGTCGTGCTATCATACCTTTATTTTGCCAGGCCATCAGAATATAGTCCAGATTTTCATTCAGACCCTCCAGTGTCTTGATTTCCTTCTTGGTCTCCTACATTAGAGTAAAAGTGCAGTGGTTTAAAAACCAAGAGGAAAACATTTATCTTTCTTGGAAGGCTGAAAATAAAATCCCAGTAATCTTACCAAAGTCTGTCGCTTCAGTTCATTGACTTTGTCGTCCAACTCTCTCCAGCTTTGTTGCATGCCTGGATTGTTGCAACTCTGACAAAAACAAGAAGGTTCTGTCACATGTTTGCAATTATTATCAAATTTTTATTTATAATTATAATTGATATTTACTTTCCCTTTCCTCTGGTTGTGATCACAGTTTCACTCTAACGTGTTGCCATATTTGCTTTGCTATGACTCACAAGGCTACGTTTTCTGTTAGCATGAGCAATTTTTACAGTTCCACCTACTCTCTGGTCCGGGAAAATGCATTTCTGCCGTTAATTGTAACTCTCTCTATAAGCAACCCAGGAACATGTTTACAGTTAGTGTGCATCAAAGTTATGGTTCTACTAAAATCTTTTCATATCTACTTTTGGTTAACTGCAGTGACCGTGGGACAGACCTGTCTGTGTAAATATGACTTAAGAATGAAACCAGGCTCTTCATTAGAACAGCATTTAACTGACCTGAGGCTCAGAGACCGAAGCCAGAATTTGCTTTTCCTCCTTCAGGCATTCAGACAGAATTAGGGCCAATTTCAGCGGCTCACCCTGGAAATGCCCCTAAGGAGCAGAAAGAACCACGCAAATCATTACTGGAAGTGTATTTTCAAATAATTACATTTTTTCTGCACAGAGCATCATATCTGTTCTACCAGCAGGTAGTCGTTCATCCTGGAAAAATCTGGCCCCTGCAGAATATTGTTCTCCTGAACAGAACGATACCACTGCTCTTGTAGAAACACCAGGAGAGCCTGGAAACAGGTTCTGGCTCTGTGCTCATCCACAGCTGCCAAATCCCTAATGCAGAGAAACAGAAGATTTAACTGCAGGACTGCACCTGTTTTCACACTATTTCACAATCTTCCTTACATCATATACTGTACAACTTACTATATTAAGTTAAAGCTCTTTAATCTTAGACCATAACTATTTTCCCTGCTTCTGCATCCAGCCCCGTCTTACCAGTCCTGGTTCTCGATCCAGGTGCTCAGATAGTGGCGAATCTCTTTGGGAAATCTTCTCTCGTACAGCTGGCAGACCCGGCTCTGGAGTGCAAAGTCCAGCTTCAGAAGGGCCTGCCACTGAGCCATCTGCAGTCACAAACACACAAACCTCTTTTTACGAGTTCAGGGCCTCTGATTGGTCCACAGATGTGATAGAAGTCTTTACCGTTATTTTCCTCCATTTTATTAACAGAAATATATCTTAC